CACCGTCCCTGGTGTGATTTAAAGGACATGTAGACGTGGTGCTGAGGGACACGGGTTAGTGGTGGGCTGGGCAGGGCTGGGGTAACGGTTGGGCTTGATGGTCTTAAGGTTCTCTTCCAACCTAAACGATTCTATGATTCTCTCTTCTCAAGTCCCCCAGCCTGGCCAGGGAGTAGGTAGACAGACATCACCTCTAACACAGCCCAGCAGGCAGCCACACAGCCTGCCCAGCTCGCTCTTCTCTGCTTGGAGGTACCGTGCAAGTCAGAGCCCTCTTCTGAAACGTGGCGTCTCAGCTTTGTGTGGGGCACATGCTGTCCGCTCACGTCTAAGCACAACCGGCTGAGGGACACCAGCCAGGCAGCGAGTCACGGAACGGGGCTGTCAGGCTGGAAAGCATTCGTGGTATCAAAGGGGCCTTTGTCCTACAGATGGTCCCAAGCCAACGGCTGTACCAGGCAGTCGTTCTCCAGGCCCTGTGCCAAGCTGTCCGTTCCCCGGCTACTGCGGGACAGGGACAGGCCCCATCAGAAGCTGACGCGCGGGGGCTGAGGGGTTGTGTGATTGCAATGGCAGAGGCTGGGGCTGTGTTTTACCGGCTCTGCCCTGTGGGAGAAGGTGGAGGAGGAGGGTGAGCATCGGCTGAGGCGGGACAGAGCGTTTCTTGGCAGCAGCCCCACGGGCTGCAGGTGACAAGCCAACCTGCTGTTCGTTAATAACGTGTCTGGAAATCTAGGTGCGACCTTGTTTGGAATCAAGAAGCAGACAGGAATGAGTGGAAGGGTACAAAAGGGCTCGTCCCTGACTGGTAGAATTGGGTGCAGGAGGCTCCTAACGGCGTAGGTCAAAGGAGCAGCAAAATCCAGAGGAACAGGGGTGGCAAAGTGGAGCATTGTGTACTCACGACTTCAGCAAATAACATGTAGCATTGTTGCACGTTATGCAGTGGAGAGATAATTTTTATATTGGCCAGATTTAGTGTTAACTAGAGAGAATTTGCTGTGTAATGGAAGATAGCTTAGAAGGATAAAATTGGAAGGACTGTAGGACTTGACATTTTGTCTGCATTTACAAGATCTTAATATTAATTGGGTTTATAGAGAAGTATAACCTTTTTTCTGATCGATTCTTTTATCTTTCTCTTAGTCCTTGTCCTGGTTTCACCACAACAGTCCTGAAACTGAGTTCCTGCCGCTAACGTGGTTGATTTTATAAGAGTATCAGTAGGGAGAAGATGTACTTGTTGATTTAAAAAGGAAACTGTTTTACAAAACAGGAAGCTAAGAGGGAGGAAAAAGAATCTGTGCTAGTCTAAACATTGAGATCTAGTATTACACAGATCCTGGTTTTCAGTGGAAGGGAGTAAAAACCCCCATCTGTTCCCACATCTTGACTGTCGGACAGGACGCCGCCCTGGCCGTTTACAGAAACCCCAGAAGAGTGGAAAGGGCTGAGGGACACCCTGGCTCCGTCTGACCTGGTTTAAAAGCCACCCATCAGGTGTACCGGTGCATTCTGAGGGGCAGTAGTCCTCGGGCCAAGGGCTAGGGAGCAGCAGGGATCAGCCCCTCAGCTCACCAGTCCTGCACAGGAGGGGACCTTTGGAGAGGCGCCCACTGGGAAGGAAAGAGGAGGATCTCTCTTGTAGTAGTGATGAGAGCGAGAATATTGCAGAACCGCTGTTCTACGCCATTCCTCTAGGTATTTGTTATTCGTCACTTTGAGCCCTAGGTTTGTTACTTAGCTGTAGAAAGGTAAAGGGTAAGAGAAAGGAACTGGCTTTTGTTAGTTTTTTCCTTAAAGGAGAATTATCTCGGGCTTCTCTTTTTCTAAAGAAGCAGCAGCGTAGCTTTTTTCTGTACCGAATCTTACTTCTGACTTTGCTCGTGAAATGATACGTTATCTCCGTAGGGAGTCCATGATGCTGCTTCCAGGAAACATGAAGAAGAGTGGAAAAAGACTTAGCATCTTAAAAAGCAGGAATTGATTTAAAAATGAAGTTAAAGTTGTCCACTGCATTTTGCTGCAGATAAATGTAAAATGCACTCTAGGGGAAACAAGAAATAAGCAGGACACAGGGGCAGGCTGAGAAAATGCTGTCTAGAAAGCCTGTTATACAGAAGTAAATAGGGAGTGACAGCAGCTAACAGAGAGAACAAGGGCTTACAATGAGACACACAACAGCAAAAAAAAGCAAATATTCGGATATGTGCTTGTATTTTGCACCCAAATGTTGAGAGAAATAGTAATGGCTCTCAAATGTGGCATTTGGAGGGTAGTACAGCATTGAAGATGACTGTCCTTCGAGAGCTGTATCTTTTACGAAGACCGTGGGAAGAAGATAGCTCTCATAATGAAAGGGTTAAGCTCCAGTCTGGATTTGTAGATACTGGTTCCACCAGGGAGCTTACTGGGAGCAGGGTGGGAGGTAAGGACCATTGCCCCTGTGCTGCGGTAGCCGGGGCACGGGATGGGGACCTGCCCCAACGCATAACGAGCCGGGAGCAGTTCCCCACAAACCAGCACCGCTAAACAGTTTCCACTAGCAAAGTTTGCTCATTTAAGGAGAGCTTCGCTTGCTCACTGGTTGTACTATGGAAAATCAAAAGTCATGCAGAAAGCTAAAGAATAGCAGTGACACCAAAAAAAAAAAAAAAAAGGAAAAATAAAAAAAGCCCTCCCAGCTCTCAGCAGAGCTTCTCGGTAGCAATTTACAACCTGTTTTCTGCAAGGACTGGTCCGTGGGAAAGGAAGATGCACTCCGCATCTTTAAATTTGGTGCTGTCAGACCTGCCACCTTCATCTGATGATTGAAAGGCTGCGGTGGCACAGCATCATCTCAGACGGCCGGTGTCTGATTGAGAAGGATTCCTCTATTAACTGTGAGCCTCCATGGTGCCTCCCAGGCAGCGAGAAAAAGGGCTTTAACAAGCTGCCTGTAGCTCACAGGGTTCGCCCTAGGAAGAGGGTGGTGATTTAATGGGTGTTGTTTGGGGGGAAAAAGACAGTCAAGAGAGCATATGCTAAGAGTGTTCCATATAAACAGAAGGAAATTGTTCATTAAACATGGGAAAGATGCTGCGATGGGAAGGTCTCTCTAGGTAGCATGTTCAGACCAAACGAGAGCTGGAGAACAGTCGCCAGCAGAGGCTCTCCGATTCCCAGGTCGCTGCAGCACCTGTGCCTGCGAGCACTGCTTTAACGGGGGCATCTACAGGCTTTAGCACAGCGCATCCCCTCTCCTCTCCACGCAAGGGTGTCGCCAGAGATTGCTTCCTTCCCTGCCAGAGGGCTTGTGCCTTCCTGGCATATATTCCACACCGCCGCCGATGCTCTTTAATGAAGGCAGTTGGAACCGCTTAATTGCACACAGGCAGGATCTTGTTTAAGCAGCAGCCAGGATGTGCGGAGTCGGGAACCACCCACCAGCCTTTGTGTGTGGTTTGAAATGGTTTTCACCGGTGACGTGTCATTACATCACCTGATTTCTTTTATAGCTCTTCACCTTTGGCTGGAGAGAAGACATCCGCCCCGGGGAGCCGCTTCACACCAGGAAGTTCTGCTTCGACGCCGTCTCGCACAGCAGCCCGGTCACACTCTACGACTGCCATGGGATGAAGGGGAACCAACACTGGAGCTACAGGAAGGTTGGAGTCGCCCTGGGGCATCCCAGAGGCTCAGGCTGGCTCCAGCCTACATTCGGTTTAGCGCAGGCTTGTGGTTTCCCATCAGAGAAGTTATGTTTTAAAGTCCACCCCGTCTTATTCCAATTTAATTTTGTGGTAATCTCCCTAGAGTATGTTCCTTTTGAGCGTTCAGCTATTTAGGTCAAATTTAGATGAAAATGGATCTAATCCAGCTCAGAGGGTGTCTGTGTTGGATCTGTTCCCCGAAAGGTGTTTTACCATTCTGGCACTTCAAGATGCTTGTGTCATTTTAACAGAGGCACTGTTGGAAATGTTTTCATCCAATGTGACAGCAGCAAGAAATGCTGCTCATGAGTTAAATATTATTATTTTACTACATTTTAAAGATTACAAGTGGCAGAAAAATCTCCCCTCCCCCCCAAAAAAAAAAACCCAACCCAACATTAAAAGCGCTGCTGTAAGCCCAAAGAAGGCAGGAGTTTATAAATGAAAGATAAGCAGCTTAGACGCGACTTTGATCTGCTATGTTTCAGCCCATTTTTATAAATCACTGGAAACAGGAGGTCAAGCTACAAACTGTCAGAGCCTCACTTAGGGCAACAAGTCCTGGCAGCGCTACCGAGCTGTTGTGAGGTTTTTTAAATGGTTAATCAGTGAGTTGCCTTGATTAACGATTTCACTAATAAACTCTGTATTCTGTGCCGGATAAGGCCATACATGTCTCTGAGGCGCTGAGGATTCTCTCTCGCATCCGCGCTTCCCTGTGCCCGCTGTGCCTTGCCCACCCCCGTGCCTAAGCTGAGGCCAAAGGGTCGGGAATTGGACTTTGCCAGATAAACCCAACAGTGCTGTCTAGTTTGAAGTGATATATAGTAGAAAACTAATTCAGAACCATTAAAAATAGTTTTGCCCCAACCCTTTTACTCAGTGCCTACTTATTAGCCTATGCCTTTTTACCCTGTTTGTGTTGCAACTGGAGAACCACCACATTTCCCAGAAGTTTTGAAACGGAGGTATTGCCTGTAACAAAAGTTGGAAGGTACGGGCCAGATACTTAGAGGACATAAATTGTCACGGCTGTATTGCTGCATATCTGGCTTTATAATGCCATAATAATACCTTCTTGCTTCAAAACCCTTCCGATTTCTCTTTTTGCCTACCCAAGCTGCAAGAAAGAAGCTTCCATACCTTTAGCACTTCATTGCTGCCTAATGTAAGCCGGTTCATAAGACAAAATGCAGGTCTGGAGCTGCCCTCTGGAAGGCTCATCACCTTTGATGTGGATGGAATACAGCAGATAACTAAAAAAAAATGACATTTGAAAAAATACGCAGTATGATTTCTATTAAATCCTCTGCACAGCTTCATTTTTCATTTCCAGAAGGCTGACAGGGCTCGTATAAAAATTCGCAATGCAAGGCAGGCATTTCCGACTCGGCAAGAAACACCACAACGTTTTATTGTGATGGAAGTACTGACATAGCCTTAACTGTAATACCAACCTGACAGCAAGCCAATTAGTTTGCATAAACCTTCAAATTAAGAAGCTGCATCGGAAAAATAGAATTAGGTATGCATGGTTTTCTTTGGGCTTAGTTTTAGTTGGACTACACAGTAAGTAGGTTTTTATCGTTTCCCACAGTCTATTTCCTCAGATACAGGGCAGGCTTACATTAGGGATTTTTGGTGGTACAGCTATACCTTCAAAATCCTAATGATATAATCCTTATCTAGCTTTGAAAACATCTTGGCAATAGGATTTATAGTGTTTCAAAAAAAAAAAAAAACTCCAACCAATCTGTACAAGAAAAGGATATTATCTCAGTTTAACTGCATCTCTACTAGAGCCCTTTACATAGAGGATGGTCTGCTACTAAAGTGGCACCCTAAATAAATAAGTAATAGTCTGGTTAAGCAAGAAGTGCCTCTTTTTAAAAAACAGAGAGCAGGTCAGCAACTCTGTTTTGTTCCCTGCACCACTTACAGACACTGCAGCTTCCTAATGATCACGTGTCCCTCCTGCCAATAATTTTCCCACATTTTAGGAAAAGTTACCTTGTTTGTCAGTATCTTATAAGATGCTTTACATGAAGCATTTCTTACCATGCTGTCATACTGTTCCTATAAAGCTAGAAGAGAGGAGGTTTTTATTCTTTTCAGGATGAGTCTCTTCATGATCATTTGCATGCTCGAGCCACTGGTGAGAAGAAGTTAGGGCTGTGACAAGATTACAAAGTGGTGGAAATACAGTCTGAAGCCAGACACTGTTTTAAGATTCCATGTTCTTATAGCATAGGAACACTAACAACCTGTATTTGGATGCCAGCAAATAAAAACAGCTTAAATATTTTAGTGGCAAATAGAATACATTAATATTTTACTTGGGGTGAGGAATGCTCTTATGAAAAAAATCCAGCTTACGCCCATTACCTGCACTTTGTTTTTCATTGCAGTGCAGTCTCAGAGTGTGCAGACCAGACTCTTTTCAGATTAATGAAAGCAAAACTACCACTAATAAACATGTCAAAAAACCTATTCTTATTCCCATACTGCTAATCACATATACAGCTGCATGTTAAACTACATCTGAGCAAGTATTTGAAAGTCTAGTAAGTCTATGATATTAAGTAATTGGGTTCTTTAGGACCAATCCAAAATATTGATCTATAATAAAACAGCCAAGCACACCTTTAAGAAATCTCTGTAAGCAGCGATGGAGTAGAACGAAACCAAATAATACTGTAAACACTACTGTGCATTGGAAATAGAGGAAAGTGAGTTTAATAGTGGGGAAAAAATATTTTGACACCATTGTAGGGCTCCCGTCAACAATGGGAGCAATGTGAGAAATTAGAGAAATGTAAATAACCTGAAATTTTTAGAGATTTGGGAGAATAGTGGCTTCCCAAGCTGGAGTCATTTTCTTGACTCCATTTGAGATTCCTAAGCATGCCAGAGCCAAAGATCAACAGTGTCTACAAATTTCCGTTCCTCCCAGGGAAGGAATACACCTCTGGTTTTCAATGTAGCATCACTCTGGTTGACAGGTGCTGATAAAGCATGATCCCATTTATGTGCCATAGTCCCATTAGTGCTATTTGTAGAGCGCAAGTATCCAAGAGAGGTTTTTAAAAAGAAACAATTGTGCAAAATCAGCTTCATTATACAATAATTGTCCCCTGAGCCCAGTGATTCTGATAGGCGCTAGACTGACAACGTCAAAACCCGTGCCCAGAAGAGTGCGGTTAGCTCATACTCTCCCGGCAGCTCCAGGGACAAGCTGTACGAGTAAGTTCACTCTTCACACGTTGGGTACATAGATTATTTCCTCAGACAACCGAAGACGTGTCATTGTGATAGTGGCTTTTATCATATGGACATCTGTCCTGCTGATGGTACTGACTACTCCTGGGTTTGGGGCTACCAAATAATTTCAGATAAACTACTGCAGCCACCAGCTGATAATGACTTCCAGTTGCTGTTGACCTTGGCCATAGTTATAGCAGTGACCTAGAAGAAATGAAAGGCTCTGTGTCTCATTACCGACCCCCTGAACTGTCAAGGCCCATTATCTTATGGAGAAGTTTCTCCTTCTGCAAATAATCTTCAGACTTGCCTTCGTGCAGATAAAAAAAAAAAAAAAATATCCCTTTGCTGTTTTCAGATGTTAGAAAAGTCTCCGCAAGAGCTTTTGTGGCTTTTTAATATTGGTGTAAAGAGGAATTCATATATTTCTCTTGGAAAGTTCTTCTCAGGGATGTACGCAACTGTTACCCCTTAAAGTCCTGAGCCTGTTTCCATTGAAATCCATAAGAGCAGCAGGCTTTGACCTGAGGTCAGCGTAAGCTTGAGATGATAAATTAATAGCCCTTTGTATACGGCTAAGTCAGCCAGAAGTTTTTCCAGAGTGGTAACTCTGTCCCTGTTCTTAAAAGACACTCTTCTCTCTTAATAACCAGACTTTCTAAAAGAAAGCACCAACAATGCTTCACTCAAAAATTGCATCCCCTGGATATTTCTGTGAGAAGAAAGACCGCCAGAAAGGCTGCAGTGTTTTTCATAGCACGCTTTTTGTACCGCAGCAGTTTCCTTTCTTCTTGAACCAGCTACCCTATTAAAGCTTCTAGTGTTCCAACTTCGGCTCCCTAATAGCTTGGCTGACCCCCATGCCCGACGATGACGGGAGGAAAGCCAGATGCCACCTTCCCCTCGGCCCCGCAGCCGGCGGGCTGGCCGTGGCACCGTCCCTGTGCCCTGGTTTGGGGCAGTGCCGCTCCATCAGTCTCTCGGAGAAGGACAGGAGGAGCTGGCAAGGTGCAAACGGGTGCGTGGGAGCCCTTGCAGGCTACCTCCTGGTAAGGACAGGACAGACCCTTCACGCGGCACGGTTAGCCCTTCTGGCAAGGCGCCGTATCCTCCCTGCTCACCTCGCAGAGCGAATCGGGGCGTGATGGAAAGGCCTCTCCCCCGTTGGTTTGGTGCCACCCCTCGGGATCCCCGCCTCGCCTGAGCCTGCCTCAGCTGCACCTCTGGGGGAGGGTAGACGGTGCGGTGAGAAGCAGCGTCGGTGGAAGGCGGGCGAACCGCCATCACCCTCGGCCAGAGCACCAGAGCCTGTTGACTTTGCCTTCTTGCATGTGTTGATATAAAAAAAAGGGCATTGTACTTGGCCGGTGTTGCACATCCTCCAGAATCAATCCATTTCATCTTACCTATTTTTTTTAAAAAAGCTTTCTTTTTAGAAGGTGTTTTTAATTAGCTACTGTTTCTTGTTGACTTATTGTGTTATATTTGGTTTTGTCTTCCTACTGCTTTTTTGAATGCAGGGTATGTTTAGTTAAAGAGAAGTTTCTGTATGATTATTGCTCAGCACCCAGAACACTTTTCTGAGTTTTTAATCAATTGCAGTTTGACAAGCAGCTTCTTTTTTTTCCCCCTCCTCTCGCAAACTGGGCAAGCAGGCACATCCCGGAGCAGTATTGCAATACCGGCAGGGGGTGTTTGGCACGGAGGGGAAAAGCCTGGACAGGGTTTACCAAGAGAAAGCTGAAATTTATTTCAACAGATGCAGTAAATGTACATCCCCTGGAAACTTTCAAACCGTCCAACCGCTCCCACACCTGCCTCTCTCGAACACCTGAGCTCGATTCCTTGAAACCGCCCAACCCACAAGTGCCAGTTGCCCATCAGGGTGGTTTCTGCTTTCCCAACGAGTCGCAATCCGGTTATTTACAGTTCCCTCCAGTTTTGTGAAGTAAATTTAATGAAACTAATCATATAAGAATAGTCTTTTTAAAGCAACTTAATCCATGCTTATCCTCCCCAAATCTTCATAGGGAGCTAAAAGAGTGTTAGGATTTCCTTCTTGGGAGGAGGGAGAGTATTTCAGCAGCTGGCCTCGCCGAGGCCGTAGGCAAAGTCTGCAGCTCATGGGGTGAGAACTGAGAGCGTCAGTCCTGGGTCTGTCTGTCCATCGCACCTCTGCAGTCGGTAACTCATTTTTAACATCTTCCTCAAGTTGATGAGTATCCATTTTCCAGACAGGCTGTTAACAGATCCTCCTGCCCAGGAGCACAGCAGAAACTGCCTAAACCAAATCCAAACAAACAAAAAACCCAACACTTTTCAGGTTCAGACATTTAAATGGGGTCCAGGCAAGCACATGATATGCAAAGATTATTAAAAAGCATTCTATTTTTTCGTTATATTATATGGTTGTTAGTTAAAGACCAGAAGGTGTCTCTTCATTCTTTCCTGAATCCCCAGTTTCATGAGGGATAATAACCCAAGGGAAAAAACCACTCTGTTCTCTACAGCTTCCTAATAATAGCTGTGGTTATTCACAAGGTTAGCGCACAGAAACCACAAAACCATTTCAGACAGGGCTGTGTTAATCCGTGTTCTGTAAAATGAGAGCATTTCCAATGGCTTGACGTTTGCTACTTAATTCTTTTTTTTTTTTTTCATTCCTGTAGGACAAAACTTTGTTCCATCCGGTAAGCAGCAGCTGTGTAGATTGCAACCCAGCCGAGAAGAAGATTTTCATGAACAGATGTGATCCTTTATCTGAAACTCAACAGTGGATTTTTGAACATATTAATACGACTGTTTTAGAAAAATTTAACAGCAAGGCCAGTTCCTAGAAAGAAAAAAAAAGAAAAATGAACACACCCCATTACGTACGGACTGCAGAGTACATTTTCGCCAGCATCTGGGTCGAAGGAGTCAGGAATAAAATTTCCTAGATCCAGGAAGTCTGTTCTGAGGCTTAAGAAAATGCAAGAGCCAGCGGGCTGTCCTTGTGGATGTACAGGATCTGAAGAACTTGGCCAAGAGCCTCACCGGATGCTGCTGAGAACTTCAGGCTGAAAATTCCCTTGCTGGTCAAGGGAAAAACTTTGTTTAAAAAACTGTTTAAAAGTACTCCAAGTTAATAAAGTAAAACAAAACTCCAGAGTTTCTCAGGTCAAATCCTGCTGCAGTGAGTAGCTCAGAACAGACGCTATAATTTGGGATGGGTTTATGGTGTGCGTGATGGCTCCAGGAACCTGAAGAAATCCCAGGTTTTAGAACTAAACATGCTGGTAGAAGAATAATGATGTCCCAGCACTCCCTAGACAAGATATATGCTCTGTTGACATTCTCTTAATAAAAGGTTGGGTTAAGCAGGTTTAACCCTCAGAACTGCTGCAATTAATTTTAAATACCTCCCTTTTACATTCCATTCATTACCAAAATAGGAATGGTAGAAATCTTAGGGTCTAGAGTTACACTGTAGCGAAGCATGAAATAAACTGTAAGGTTTTGCCCTCACATTTCCCCCTTTCAGGAAAAAAATGTAAAGCAATCAAATTTCTATACGTGATATATTTAGCAACTGTGATTCAAATCCCATTGTCAGACAAGGTGAGATATTTTTTTTTCAGTGACAAATATAACAGCAGCAGCTGCAGCATAACAGAAGGCTTGTGGACTAGCTATTTTTTCTAAAGGTGGAATCCTTACCAAAGTATAAATTAGATTGAAAATAGGCTGGGAAAAAAAAAAAAACAAAAACCATCAGGAGTGTAGGAAATAATTGCGTACTGCATGCCGAACTAAGTTAGTCAAATTAACACTGGTACACGGCTGTCGCCTACAAGCGTGTTGGCTCCCTGCAGTGCAGCTCAAAAGGTCGGGCAGAGGTCTCGCGGTGCTCTTGGCGGGTCAGAGTTGGGAGGAAAATGGACGTGAAACGAGCTGGGTGGTGTCAGAGTGTAGAAATCCGTGATGGAAATCAGGTGAGCTTTCCAGAGTTAGGAAGCGAATGGCATCGTCGATCTCACATGGGGGAACCGAGGAACGCAAACAAGTTCAGCTTTTGGTGCTTGAGGCAGAGCGCAGGGTAAGGCGGGCTCTTGTCACGCTGGTGAGCATCACAGCCGGCGGTGTCCCTCAGAGCCACCAAGCTGCTGGCACGAGAGGCCTGTGAGACTTGGCTGGGGGAACGGTGGCTCTTCTCAGCAGAAATCAGCTAATACTGATGCGTGGAACATAACTGATAGGTTTGGGATTTTTCAAGGTAGGAGCAAGTATAAATTTCTACTGAGTAAGTACATGGCGTGCTTTTACTTGCAAGATGAATTTCCAGATGAAAGCACCATAAATGCAGATAGATCACATCCTCTGAGAGGTGGCTGCAACACTGCGTTCGGGTTCCAAAAATACCGTGTGTAATTAAGTTGCTTATTCTGATTGCTGGAGAGGTGGCTGACTAACCAAAACGCTGACGTGCGATCTCCCCTGTTAGAGGGAGTGGGGTGACTGTGCTTTGTTTATTGCTCCTTCAGCTGTGTTTGTGCACAAAGGGCATTGATTGCATCCCGAGGATGGTTCTAGTACCAATAACTGCGTGCTGCTTTATGGCAGCACCTTGTAGTTGTAGATTAAGACCCAAAAGTGTAGGTCATGGGAACTTTTCAGGAAGGGAATGAGATCCTGCAGCATTCAGGACACATGCGCTGAGGAAATTGTGAAATGCATCCGTACATTGAGCAGTTGCTGCAAGGTAGAGATCTTTCAAATAACCAGGCAGAAATGTGTCTATCGAGTTAGACTTCTCATTCTATTATTTTAAAATAAGTGAGCTTGTTTAGGTGCTGTTTAAATTGAATATGAAGATCCGGTGCAGTGGGGAGCGGAAGCAGTAAGGCGGCTGTGTGAGGGCACTCAGGGGTGTTTAGCCATCGGTACCCAGAAGCAGGCTGGGCACGGCAGACCCTCAGCCTTCCCCCGGTGCGATGCTCCTGGGTATTTGCAGCCTGAGCCTGAGGAAAGAGGACTGGGAAGAAGATGGCTGCCTAGAATGTGAACGCAGCCCTCGAGCTGCTGCTTGTGACTGGCCCCAAACTGTCAAAGCCCTGGAAGCAACACTCTGTGCCCAAAATAGAGGAGAATTGCTAAACCAGCTGAGCGACTTACATTATGCACAGATTGGTGGGGTTATATCATTCAGTGTCTGACTGCATCTCGCTGGTCTGAATTTGAAGCGTCTAACGGGAACAAGGCGGCTGTCGGAGCGAAGAGCTTCGGTGCCTTTTACATCTCTCCTTGAGTAATATGGCACAGCATCTTGTGCTGCGCCTTCCCTTACAGCATCCTGCACCACACCTTCCCCTCACCGCATCTTGTCCTGCATCGTCCCCTCACCGCATCTTGTCCTGCATCTTCCCCTTACAGCATCTCGTCCTGCCAAAGGAAACCTTCCCCTTACTCATTGATGGACACTATTGTAGCAGTCCTCGATCGAAAACAATCCACATAACTAATATTCACATGTCCTAGGGGAAAAAAAATGTGTTCTGCTTAATGTTTGCAGGTTTTATAGGCAAAATATAAGAAAAATATATTGGAGTTTGTTGTGGGTCAATAGCGAGCAACTGCTGATCAGTCTGGAAATACAAAGGTAAAATGAAGGACTGTATCTTGAGGAAATTTTAGGAAGAACCTAAAATCACACCGCAGCATAGAAACACACACGCATGCTTATATATGGGTACGTATATATACACATATGTGTATGTGAGCAGTGGAAAGAGGTAGATGGAGGAGAGAGGTTTGTTTTCACTTGGTGGGCTGATCTTTCGAATATTGACTATAACCAGAACTGCACAGAAAAAAAAAAATATATATAGGACATGTTAGACTGATAGTGAAGGCAGTTATCTCACTGTTTTCAGCTTCAGCAAATCTCTCTCTTCTTAAAATCTGAGACAAAAAGCCCTGGCGTGCAGCTTCCCCGCAGCCAGCTGTAACCCTCCTCCTGCGGGCAGAGGTGGCCCCGGGGCCAGCGACCCGCAGAGCCGCGCGCCTCTCACCTCTGGGATGACACATTCGCAAAATGGTTCTGACTCGCTAAGCACAGGGCTCCTTCAACAGGAAGTTTTATTAATAATAAATGATCATCCCTACCTCTAAATTAAATTCTGTCTTGGGCGTTCTCCAAAGCTTTCTGCTGATCGCAGTATTTCATGGCTAATTTAACACGCAGAATTTCTGTGAGTCTTCCTACAGCCGTATCTTTTCCACCCGGCAAACATCTGAACAACTTGATAGGATGGACAGGTACAGCTTCCTCTCATATTGCACCAGGAGCATTTAGCTTTAACATGCATTTCTCCAAAAGGTTATGACATTTCTTCGCAGATTATTTCTTTTTTTGAATACCAGCTAGTTCTGCATATACTTTGAATCTCGCGTCAGCAATAACTGACGTGGGCTCATCGTGTCAGCGGAGCTGTACTAATCTGCCCCAACTGATGACTTGCTTCAGTTTTTTTAATTAATTATTTTATGGCTGAGAGGGCTTTAATCAACATGCCTGAAAAAAAGATCTTTGTATCTTTGGAGTTCATCAGCACCTACCCTAATTTTTTCCATTTAAGGTTATCGGACTCTTTTTTTTGTGGGCAGCGAAGTACTACCACAGGAGAGAGGAACTGGAGAGCTGGAATAAACATTGGGTGCAACTACAACTCTAAAATCATGTGTGATTCCCTGCATGTGTTCCAGAATTTAAACTAATCGGAAGCCCGTGGGGGAGAGGGCCTAAGGGAGGGAGGAGGAGCTGGGACACATTTCACGGATCGGGTTGCAGAGGCACGAGAAGACTTCACTTGTCGTTGGGCGCAGTCGTATTGCAGAAAAATGGGAGTGCTTTAGAACAAATGTTTCTGCAACAGCACGGGTATTTTAATGACATAATGCACACTTCCCGGGGGTTATGAGTTTGCGAATACGTGGGCCGTAGCTGCTGCACCAGGTGTTCCTCACCATACAGACAGGGTGAGCTTGAAGGGCAGCTGCCGAGCCCGCACAGCCCCTGACGCCTGGCAGCGTACCAGGCACCGGCCTCGCCGTCACCGCAGTGACATCGGATGCCACAGAAGATCGTAGCAGAAACGTATAGAAACAGCTTAACCAAACGGATTTGATGGGTTGCACCTCTGCCAGAGTAGCTCTCACCCTTGGTTGGTTTTTTTTTTAAAAAAAAAAAGTCATCATAATCAGAATTCATTTGCATTTTTACCGATAACTTCTGCAAGGGACGGAGTGAGTGGGACCCTTTTAGCCTCCCCAGAGAGACCGGGGACGGGGCATTTCGGGACTGGGAGCCTTGCGATGCGGCTGCCATCCCTTTTCTATTTAAAGAGCATCGATCTTTAATGCTGTTAGCCCAGCACTTGTCAAGGGAACACAAGATGCACATTAAAAAAAGAATATGATAATGGACTTATTTTCGTTTTCTAATCCATCAAGGTTGTTAGGGAAACCATTTCAAAACCCTTGAAAACAAAAGAACTGATCAGAAGTTGCTTCTTTATAGCTGGTATTAGGTGTATAAGGTTCATTGATTCCTTTAACTCCCTTCTGAATCTAGTCCATATATGCTCTTAGAATGCACGCGAGGGTCCAGGAGGGCTTTTACATAAGATTTTGAGCATCATGCCCTATCATCTGAAGGAAGGTTTTGGCAGGCCTTTAAAAAATTATCAGGAATAAGCCAAAAGGTAAAAAAAAAACAAACCAACAAACCAAACAAAACCCCCCCCCCCTCCACCACCACCAAAAAAAAAAAAACCCAAACCAACAAAAAAAAAAAGAAGGAAAAATACCTGGTATTGTAATATATATGTCTAGTGTACCAAGAGATTTTGCTAAACTTCTTGTTCTAAAATAGTATCTATTGACTGGAAAATTTTAGACAAATAAGTAATATAATTTAGTAAATTTTTAGTGTATAGTGCTTTCTAGTTAAGATTTTTACTCTTAGAAAAAATCAAATTTTAGTGACTATGTATAGTTAGTTGCTGACAGGGGTTTTTTTTAACCGCATGTAATACATAAATCTGTCCTGAGGTCTCCTGTAATCTCATATTTCCTCTTTAGAATTCTGAATGCACTGGACTGAAGA